AAGATCAATGCAAATATATATCACAAGAAGCAATCTCAATTCTATGTTGGTGATAAGGTATGATTACTTTGTTGTAATATCAAGCCAATTTATGCTTGTCACAAGTTTGACTACCAAGAACTTGAGCCATTTTTTATTTATGAATAAATCAATCTAATTGCATATTGATTACATCTATTAAAGTCTATAAAGATCCATCTTGTATTTTACTTATCTTTCTTTGGGTAATATATGATAGTGAATATCTTAAAAAGGAGACAAATGACACTACCTTCTATAGAAATAGATAATAATGAAGAATTTGAAGTGAAAGAAGTCTTAGACTCAAGACATCTCTAAAATAGGTTTAAAAGTTTAGCTTATTCATTGGTACACATATGATATTAGTAAATATACATAAAAACCAATCAAGAATCTTATAAATGCAGTAAAAAAAGTCAAAGTTTTTCATCAACAATATGTATCAAAATCAAAATAAGTTTTTCATCAATAATATCTATCAGAATCAACTAATTTATTAATAATAAAAAGAAAGATGTTTAATAAAGATTACATTCCATCTTTTATTCTTTAATGTGATTTCTTTGTATTAGTGATACTAACAAGGTAGAGAACCAACATCCAATAAATTCAACTCAAAAGCTATTGTTTGTTAACTTACTAAACAAGTCATTGCAATTGTTACGGCTTTCAAGATGACATAATAAAGATGAATACCTTTAAAAATGATATGTTCTTTCTTAAATAAATGGTAAGATAAAATGAATTTGATACCACAACCTTGAAAGAGACTTCCAATATTTGGTGATTTTATTGGAAGTAGAAATAATTTTTGATAGTATTATAGATATTTTGTTTGAAAGAAGTTATAAAGGCGTCAATAATGATGAAATATTAGAGTGGTCTTTTTGCTTTAGAATGGGACATTATCAATGGCTAAGAAGACTTATCAATTATCTTTAAAAGAAAAAAAAGATGAAAATATGTGACAAATGCAATTTGTTGAATTTTGGACTTCATCAACATATGACCACTGCTCATTGTGGAACTTGTTCTTAAAAGGGGAGATAATGAGAGGAACATACATATTTATTCTAATAATTTTTTAAATAATATGAATAAGTAGAAATAAATAAAAGTAGATTAATTTAATGATATCTTATAGAAAAGCTTCTTAAAAGCTTTATAGATACAATTTTATCTTTACAAGTGTCAATAAGTGATTAAAAGAATAAACACTTGGTCAACAAGTTAGCCACATGTTTCATATGTCAGTAGCTTGTGATACAAATTAACTATGTGGCATATATATAAGATACTTGTTTTATAAATGAAAACAAGTGTCTTCTAAATTAGACACATGTTGAAGGTCCTATAGAATATCCTCATATAGCTCCATAGTAGATAATATATATAGAAACAAGAATTAAGTCTTCTTCACTCTTGTCAACTCTTTTCTTATTTCTAATTTAGTTTCAAGATTCTTTAGTTTTTCTTGCCTTTTAACACCATTCTAATATCTTTTTGAATATACATACTTATTTAATTTTTTCATCTCTCTTTGATATATATATATCTCACTTATTTACATATCTTTTTTTGAATTCTTGTCCTTAACAAAAGCATATAAATTTTAGAATGATTATAAATAAGATATTTCAAGCAAGATTCTAACATTAATTAGCAAAGTAAAATAATTTTATTTTGAACTAAAATTTAGTCATTAATTTTTGTAATAACTTAATTATTTTTATAAGTAAAAATTAGTATTTATCTTTTAATTAAAATAATTTTTATTTTATATTATTAATTAGCTCTAAAGTCTTGCTTAAAATATCTTATTTATAATAACTTTAAAGATGAAATACATGAGACATTAAATAAGGCTATATTTACTTAAACAAAGAATAGTAGATAATAACAAAGTTAATGGATTCTCATATATATGCTCATAGTAATACAACAATCAATACTTTATTTACTTTACACAAATCATTTGAGTCTTGAACAGATTCTCTAATCTCTGAGTTGAACAATCATTTTTATGCAAACACTTGCTAATTGTTATTGTAGCGAACTAACAATAACATTCCAGTAAAGCAATAAGTATCCAATGAATTCTTCAATTTGATGGAAGCAGAATGTGGATGGATGTCATCCAATACTTCCACTCATCCAAAAACATTTTACTAAGAATGCAAGTCCTTCTCTCACTTATTCTCATGGAATGGTCGGAAGTTGAGCAAATGACGAAGTTGTTGAAATGTGTCTTTTGGCAAAGCTTTAGTTAATATATGAGCAATCTAATCATTGATGTATATGTATTGGAAATCCATGAATCTGTTTTCATAATGCTCTTTTATCGAAAAATACTTTATATGGATATATTTAGTGCGGTGAAGGTAATCAGGGTTTTTGATTAGTAATTTTTTATGTTGATGGAGAAAATATTTGATTGTCTCTTTCAATATAGCCATTTTGTTGTGGTGTGTAATCTGTACTTGTTTGTCTCTTGATATAACTTTCATTGAGAAATAGATCGAAAGCAATATTACAAAATTCTTGTCCTTGATCTGTTCGAAATGCAAGTACATTGTGTCCTGTATCCCGTTTGACAAGATTAACAACTTGTTTAAAGAATGGAAAAGCTTCAGATTTCCTTTCAGCAAAATGTACGAAACGAAATGTTGTAGCATCATCCTTATATAAAATGTAATAAAGAGAACCATTTAGTGAAGGAATGCTTGTTTTCTTTCCTGAGACATCGCCATGTATGAGTTGTCTTGGTAAAGACGAGCGTTGTTTTGTTGGATCATGTTTATATGACTATTTTTGCTATTTTCCTTTCATGTAGCCTTCACAAGGATGCGGAAGTAAATCGTTGCTGTCGAGCTTAAAATCCAGTAGACTCTGCCGAATATTCATCCCATGAATCGTAGGAATGTTAACATGGCCCATACGAGCATGCCATAATTGTAAATCATTAGACAAAAAAGAAGTACTAGTTGAAAAAGCCGCGCCATCTGTGTGCAAAAATGAAGAAAAAAAAAATATCATGCTGGCTTGAGGAAACTGGCTGTCTGCTGAGAATTTAAGGTATCATTTTCAGTTTTAAAATTCAAAATAGTTGTTGTAGTATAATCATTTTCTGATTTTGATGTAGTTGAAGAAATTGTTTGGGGTGGTATCACATGGATAGATAACTGATATAGCTTGTGAAAACGTGTGCCCTCCATCACTTTCTTTCCACTTTTTGTTCGAAATTCACATCGCCTTGGATGTGTTATAAATGAAATGTTTTGTTCAGAGACGAGGCCCACAGAGAATAAATTTTTCTTCAATTGCGAGACATAGAGGACATCATTGATTACTCCATTTCTGTATTTTTTGTTGATTAAACATTGGATCTGAATACTGCTGCGGCCTCGAACCCATAGCTTGGTGTTGTCTGCGATTTGGATCGTGTGTGTGCCCTCGGGTATATAGTGTGTGTGTGAAAACCAATCATGGCAATCGATAATGTACTCGCTTGCACCACTTTCCGCAAACCAAGCATCAACCGAAGATTGAACAACATTAGCATGACTAGAAATTGCCGTGTTGACTATGAATCCAAAATCTGTGTCGGATCCAGATTTGGAGTCGTCGTCGGAGGTATTTTAGAGATAGAGGCTTTTAGCGAAGTTGGCATCATTCATACCACCATCGATTCTCCCAGGGTCTTTGCTGTACAATTTCGCTTTGGCTTTGTGCAATCAGACGACCAATGGCCGAGCTTGTGGCAATTGTAGCATTTAGTGCGAGCCTTTAGATCACGAATATAGTGGATATCTTTCTTGTTTAGTTCTCTTCTGTTCAGCGGTCTTGTAGGTTAAGCATTGGAGCAGGTAAAGAAGGCTTGATCTGCGTTAATATCAGCTCCTCCTTGGCACTGCAACAAACTTTCGTGGCGTAATAATCGTTTCTCTAGTTGTCGACGGTTTGATTAATATTTGGAACATTTGACCAAGCTACTAAAATGCTATAATGCTATTATAGCTAAGTGGTAGGCTGTATATGATTTTTGATATAATCATTTTTTTTGGTACGTTGTGTCCAAGACCTGCAAGAATACCTGTCATTTCAGTAATGTTTTGTATGTGTGAAGAAATGTCGTTTGTAACTTGCGTCCTATAATCGAATAAAAATTCCTTGAAGAGTGAAGATACTCTCGAGGGTCTTTTTCAGGTGGAGCGAACATAATTTGTGCCACATCGCAGCGGCATTCATGCAGCTAGTAAGCTTTCCGAGTATCTTTCGTGTAATAGATTAGCTAATAAACATTCTAGCATTGACTTTTTTCTCATCCCAAGCATCTAGCAGAAGTTGATCATCAGAAGTAATTGAGATTGGTTCGATAATAGGACGTGTCTCTAATCTGTTCACAACTTGTCGTTCTTATCCATGCTGAAATTGTTTAAGAAAATAATTTTGTGAAAAATATTATCTACTGAATTGTGTTAATCTCTGCAGAAGAGATTGTCTGTAAAATCGCTCAATGTAGTGTTGGGAAGTGGCCCAACACCTAACGTAGTTAATGGATTCTCATAAACATGCTTACAGTAATACAAAAATCAATACTTTATTTACTACACACAAATCACTTGAGACTTGAACAGATTCTATAGTCTCTGAGTTAAACAATCACTCTTACACAGACGCTATCTAATCGTTATGGTAGCAATCTAACAATAACGTTCCAATGAACCAATAAGTATCCGAGGAACTGTTTGGAAGTAAAATGTAGATGGATGTCACCCAATAGAAAGCAACCTCGAATTTCAATGTTAATGCGCCAATATTCACTTGGAAAGACATCTGCTAGCAAGCTCAAACCTCAATATTAATGTGCCTCTGCCGCTATAAAATAACCTTTATGTCAGAAAACTAAAACCTGATATCTTGGTGAGTTCCGGTTGCAGGGGGGCGAGCAGGTGAGATTTCTTAATCAAAGACCGAACCAGCGAAAGCTCCACTTGCTCCGCCCGACGCCCGAGTGCTTCATCCCACACACTTCTGACTGACACAAACACACACACACACACCCACATCAGACTCTCTCAGAACGAGGAGCAGGTTGACATTCCCAGCCCCGGGCTTTATTAGACCTGCCCCCCGCAATCCAAATGACAGCACAGCAGCCCCTTTCCCCTTTCCCTGTAGCAGCTACCCCCACCAACCTGCTCATCCCTGCAGCATCCTCCCCCGCCGCACAATTCAACACACCACGTGTGTCTCTCTCCCTCCCTCCCTCCCTGCTTCAGCTGAACGCTATAAGATCCACCCGCCGCCGCTCTCCCTCTCCACCTTCATCACCCGCTCTCGATGCTTGAGCACCTGCCTGCGCCACCCCGAGTTCCCCATCTTCTTCGTTCCCTCAATCAGGAGTTGCAGCTGCACTACGCCGCAGTCCCAGCGCCATGAAGCTCCTCGCGGTCGCCGCTGTGTCCTTGATCCTGCTTGTGACCTCTCAGATGCTGGTCACTTCCCAAGCAGCCGGCTGCGACGTCTTCCAACTAGCGCCGTGTATTGCAGCCAGCAAGAATGCCAACGTGAGGCCCTCCAGGCAATGCTGCTCCAACGTCGCCAGCATGGGCAAGGGGCTTCCGGGAGCCGCGACGTCTTCCAACTAGCGCCGTGTATTGCAGCCAGCAAGAATGCCAACGTGAGGCCCTCCAGGCAATGCTGCTCCAACGTCGCCAGCATGGGCAAGGGGCTTCCGGGAGCCAACTGTCTGTGTTCTCTCCTGAACCACCCCCTGGCCAGGTCGCAAGGGGTGGCTCCCCGGATCGCTCTCGGCATCCCCCAGAAATGCCGCATCGCCGTCCCGAGGGGCTTCGTGTGCCAAGATACGCTTTCACGCCTTCTCCCACGCTGATGCAGTTCTTTGCCTTCCAGCCGCCCAGCCGCCCCAGGGGGTGGGTTGTAGCAGCGAATTGTCACGTCCCATCCTTCGCGTCGTCCGGTGATGTCTTTGCTCCTGCTGCCTTGCCTCGTACGTCATGGTTGTGGACATGCTGCCGACAGTGCGGCGGCGAGTGCACCGCCTTGTGCGAAGCGGAGCCGATCACGATCATGGGGTTGCCACTCATGGCTTTGACTTGCATGCTGTGCAGGAATTCGAGTCCCCGGAAGCTGAGCTCTCAGGGTCCAAGCTGGAGCACTGCCGTCTCCACGTGGGGTCGAAGTGGATGGAAATCTTCTGAGCGTGCACCCGAGTAGAGTGGCATTGTGTACTCCCCTGTGAAAGCGGGAAAATATCTATAAATGTGACAAATCTGTTCCGTGACCTCAGGCACGCAGTGCTCGTGTGACAGCCTTTGTAATGTGGTGTGCGATGCGTCCAATGCAGGTCCAGTCCTATGGTGTGTTGTTGTGCCCGTCATGAGACGTTGCATGTCATTGTATGTGAGACATAGAGCAAACGGCACCACGCTCCATGGGATGTCGCATTGTGCGACAATGCTCCTGAAGTGCGTTGCACTGAACTAGTCCGGTCACGTGGAAACGAGATGGTCACAAACGGTTCGCTTCGATGGGCTCACACCTTGATCTGTTCGAGGGTGGATACTACTTCGCAGCTAGACATTGTTGTTCACCGCTATACCAGGGAGCGAAACAGTTGTATCGAAACTCTTGTAGCGGAGACAATGCACGGGAACCAATTTGCTGAGGATGCACTTCTTGTGCGGTTGGACGTTAGAGGCGGGTTCAAAATTTTCTCTCGTCTTGGGACTGTGAGTTTCGCTCGACTTGGAAACTGCAAGTCGTTTCTGTTGCTCCGACCTAAGGGGCGACAAACTCATGCACCAAGAGCCAAGAGAATCGCACCTATTGAGGAGACACATGCTGAAGAGGTCTTGCAAAACGGTTAGGAGATTATGGTATGCAAGAATGAACGAAGCTGAATCATGCAGAAAGCTCTGAAGCCCATGACTCGACAGGCAACAGAAAAATGAGACACCATGATGTTATTTTGCAATTACAAATGGAGTTAGACACCGTAGATGGTGGTCTAGAGTGGACCGTTAGGAGGTACATGTGGAGAGAAGGAATCCGAGACAAAGATGAAATGGACAACTGGGGAGTTCAACATTCTGTGACAATCATGCAGCTTCGATTGAACTCGGAATTGGAGGCAATCACAATTGAGAATTAGCAAAAACTTCTGAGACAAGGTTGAAGATTCTAGACTCCTTCAGAACAAGTTGGAAGACACAATCTCACAACTACCTACCGGAAAAGAAGCAATCATCTTTCTCGAAAGTTGTCTGATTTGGATTGGGAGTGAGATTGATTCACTGCAAGATCACAAAGTTAAATAACGTTCAGTAAAACTATGCTGAGAGACCACGAGAATCTTGGTCATTTGAAACAATCTCACTGACATTTTACAAGTCCAAAAGTAGCCCAATCTCCACAATCTATGCTAGCTTCATTATATTTTCTACATGTTTTTTATATTTCGTTTTTTGAACTTCTGGATTGCAAGCTGGCTCTGCAGAGTCTCCCGGTTGGTTAAAGAGATGCTGTGTATTACATGCTATTCCTCTAAATTCAGGCAGTGTTATGCAAAGTTACTACCTATTATGATTTAGGTTAATTCCAATAAGAATTATAATAACAGTGGGGATTCACATTCACTTATTGGATTGATGAAAATAATCAATTTATAATGGATGTTAACAATATTAATATTAGAGACATTATTGAGATGTAATATGGTTGTTTTGGTAGGCATTATTAGAGATCTCCAACAAACAGTTTGTTTTCATTAGGCTCACCTTCAAAATACATATTTTTGGTCAACTTGTACATTTAATTTGAGATCAAATTTTTCATTGTTGCTAAAAAACATCAACAATCTGGTCTTATAAGCCTTCAATAACAACAAGAAGAATCTACTAGAATCCTTTACCACATACTTTAGTTATTCTACCAAACAACTTATTGATGTTATTTATGTTTTGGAGAGTTCTATGTATTGTCTTAACACAATAGTAGTGTTGCATTGGTATCTCATCCTAGATAATAAAATTTGTTTTTCTTGGCACATTTGTGTATAGTGTATTCTTTGCAATATTGCAAACAAATCTTTATCAACATGGAGTGGAATTTTAAACATAGATTGGCAATCCGTCCATCACTTAAAAATTGTGTTGCAATTTGGAAGAAAGCAACATAAAAAATGAAATTCTCATTACTTTGGAACTTCATTGTTATTGTATTATAAACAAATATTTTTACACTTCTTGCTCATCCTTCTAAAATATGTTACTTTCTAAGTTTATTATACATTGAAGTAAAAATATCTAAATATTATATTTTATTATACTTTCTTCGACAAAAATTATTCTTGAGCTAAAAATATATTTAAATTATTTATTTTATTAAAAAAAATTAAAAATTAAAATATAATAAATTTAATAAATAGGATTCTATTGATCTTCATTTGATATTTATGAATCAAATGCCATTGTGGTTTATATTTAATAACAAATTGCACTAGATCAATGAATTCTTAAAATGTTAACTTAGTATTATCAAACTTCTTAAGAAGATATATTTTTAATTTTTAATAAATATAAATATAATTCTATGATAATTTATACTAAAAATATACTTCTATGAGAAAATCTTATTATTCTTCTATACTTATGACATATTATTCTTAATGATAATTTTAATAATAAACATCTTGAATTTATTGTAAGCACTATCTTTTATATATTTTATGTATTTTTTAAATTTATTTTGTGAGCTTGTGATATTTTATTTTAGATCTTAAAAATCCAAAATATTTTTATTAATCTAAATTTCTATTTAAAAAATAAAAATATTTAAAATACATTTGTACATTTTTTATTGTAATTTTATTATTAAAAACTTATACATAATATCTGATAGGAAAGAAAAGCTTAAAAAAAATATAAATATAAAAATAGATAAGATGATTATTCCAAAATTAATGAAGTTAATAAGAATTTTAGTTAATTTGATTGTAATCGAGGCTATAAAAAAATACTTTAATGTGTTAAAATTAGCTTAAACTCCATATTAGTATTATAAAAAATATTATAGATTATTTTTAAGAATTAATTATTTCAAAATTTTCTTTTATTTTATGTAAAAATAATTTATAAACTTGTAGACGCCATTGTAAAGAATTGGAGCAAGATTTGAAGGTCTTACATAATTTATAGAATAATTTGGCATTTCTAAAAACCATGATAAAGAAAAATCTATAAAAAGAATAAATTATATTATAAGAACCTAATATAATCATCAACTAGTAGAAGCTTGGATATGTTAGTTTCATATGAGTTGGAACACTTTTGAGATAGATAGAAAAATATGACAAAGTCTTTGAGGCCCCTCTAGGACATATTTTACACTCCTAATGATTCTTAAAGAAGCTGAAAGTTATTGATTATTTAAACAATTTATCTTCAAGTTAAATTATAATAATTTATCTTTCTAATTTTCATAACTATTTTATTACAAAAAAGTTAATATTTTTATTTTATATATTTTTTATGTCATTTAAAATATAAAATAGTTAGCCATAAAAATATATGTTTTTATTTATTGATTAAATATATAATAAAAATATATACTTAATTTTTATTATTTATGTCTTTTAAAGAACCGTTAGGTCAGCACTCTCCTTTTATTGCATAGGTACCCCTCCACATCATGCACCCCTACACACACAAAATAATATAATGGTCATATCATTATTATCTCAATTTAAAGTGCTGAAATAAATAATAAATAATAGTAGAAAAGATACTTTGTCTTTCATGCTTATAATTTAAATTTAATGTAATTAAATTTTATTATTATTTTTATGCAAAAATATATATTATAATAATAGATATATGCACACATACATAGATAATGGTTAGATTTTTATGCTTAGTGGTTGCTTCTATGATTGCTATAAGTTGTTATATCTATATATATATATATATATGACAATGATATCATTGTATGTATGTGGGGATACATAGTACATATGGAGGGGGATAGAGGTGTCTACTTAGTGGGTCCCTTCTTTTTAATTTCAATTTTAATATTTTTAAAATATACTTCTTAATCCCACCATTAATTTTAAAACTCATAATTAATGCTACTTTGCATTTAAGGTTGAGAGATAAATTTTATCTGCACACTTCTATTAGATGAAGAAAGAAGAGGATGGATTCTACCAATTAATTGATTTTAAATTGAAAGTACACATTGATGAATATAATATCTTCATCAATGGTTATGTTAGTTATAACCAAATCTAAATATTCTAAAAGAATATCATTTAACAACATTTATTGCACCTTAGAAGAAATTCACTTATGTAATTTTACTTTTTGGATCTAAACCGGAAATAATTTGAAACATAAAAATATATTTTTGGTATTTTAAATATTGTGCAAATTTTAATATATAATCATTCTACCTTCAATTATTTAAAATAAAGACATGCTTTTAAAGCAAAGTATATAATTTTAGTCTGATATACCACCTTCTTAGTATATAATAAAAAAATTAGTAATGAATTGGTTAGCTAAAAACATGTTTTTTCGATGTTTTGACATTGTTTTTGTTGAGAAGAATAGATGAGCAAAGTAGAGCACCAGAAGCGGACAAATATTAGTAACAACTTGATTCAAAATTTTACTGTTTTTGTCGTAGGACTTTATCCCCAAATCCTAATTAATACAATCACAACCACATTTGCATACTGCACAAGGCACCAATAGATTGAAAGAAAGGTCAATTACAATAGTGAGCTAATTATACTCAGAGCTACACTATATGTCTATTCCCTATGAGGTCACCCATTCAGTCGACAATAATGTAATGGAATTCCGTAATTCCTCCCCGTCCAACTAATCAATGCCATGGTGCTTTGATTCATGTCCATCTGCTCACCCATCCAATTTTCCCACCAGCTCCACGTTAACTTCTATATCATTCTCAGCTCCCTCGCCAGCAAGGAATGGGCCCATACTCAGCAAGAAGATGCCACAGAGCAGCAACGTTTGCTCAAGCATCTAAGCAACATTATTACCTTCCGAATCCGTGTCTACTGTTTCAGCTACCATAGCCTGGGGGGGCAATGATAAATTCCACATCATCAGAAAGCTCATCTTCAAATCCCAATTGTGCCATTTCCTCCGGGGGTAGCGTTGACGTCGTCCCTGATTCGGAAAACTCCGATACCAGCAGATGCTTGTACCTGCTGAAACATTCATACCAATCAACATCTAATTCTTCTCAAATAAAAAAACGCAGTTACAGATGATGAGCTAAGCAAGATACTTTGCGGCCACACAACCAATCTATCACCAGGGGGAAAACCCAAAACTGGACTTGAAAATACATCATTTTCTTTTCGTTGGGGAGAACACGTACTCATTCTGCTCAGGTGGGAAAGTTTCCTGCCGTACAGTGGCCCAAAAGGCAAGCTCTCCTCCATCTTTGCTAGATTCTGCTCGGTCAGCAGCTTCTACCACACCTTGAGCAGCCTTTTTCAGCCATGCTTGTACATCTGGAGCTCTCCAGACTAAGTAGTTCCTCTCTGTGTAAATATTGATTAGATGCTCCAGAGTAGGGCCTCCCGGAGAGGCATCGCTAAAGTGTTTGTGACTCAAGATCTTGGTCCACGCAGCATCCTCCTTTATGGGCGCTTTGTTCACTATCTTTCTCAAAACAGTAGGGTGAAGCATAAGTGCTTGCTGTAAAAGATCTAAAGATGATTTTTCATCTTTACTTGAAGGTTGTGATGGCTGCTTTCTATCACTTGAGCTCCTGCAATGTAGAGAAACTCGTAGGCACTTAGATAGAAGAATCAGCACGAAATTTTAAATAAATAGATAAATAACCATTAGTGGAAGCTTCAAGATGTTGATATACGTAGAGATAGCTTCAAGCCATAGCTGTACACGATACATGCCACAACTTGCGAGTGATCACACAGGGGATTTGAGATGTCCGCAATCCACAATTAAAACATGGGTAAGGACTAGGCGCAATCGAAAATACCTGGAGCTGGACCTTGTTGCTTCAATATGGAACTGAGCCAAGGCGAGCGAGAAGAAAAAATTGGGCAAAACCGGCAGGGGACTACCTGACCTATATTCCCTTGCGAAATTCTGCAACCACTCATATTGCTCGGCCCTTAATGCGAAATAGTCAATGCAAAAGAGAGCTCCCAGAGGATCATCCGAGTCCAACGAGAGTATTAATTTACAAACTTCAAGTGCTGTTCGATGACAACCCCGCCTACCCAGGTGTTGCATATGCTTGAATAAAGCATAAAACAGGGGTTTATTTTGTTCCCAGCTATATACAAGCCTACATTTTCCTGTCGTAATATTAAACCCAGGATGCCAAGCACACTCTAAGGCGTAAATACACCTCTCCAAAAGCTCAGCTGATTGTTGAACCTCACCCAGGTCTTTGTAAACTTCAGCCAATGCAAGAAGGGAGTCAACATGATAAGGATTCTGGTTCACTAGCATGGCGATGGTGTGTGGATCATGTGATGCCACACAGTCCTCATACCTGTTCTGCACTTTCTGGTAAGCACTTGAAAATACATACCTGCAGTTTTGAGTGCTGGTAAGCTAGAGATTAAGATAAAAAAACAAAAAAATGAAAAGAAATTCGCATCAACAACGAAGCCGATGAATGTAAATCCAACTACGATTCCAACCATTGATATTTCCTCAAATGATGCGTCATTCTAAAATCCCATTGGTTGTAAGACAGTCAGTGACTCCTAATGACACCAACAATAGCAATTCTCATGTATCCAAATCCTTCGAAACGAACCGCAACCCGATGCAATCAAACAAGTGCCGAAACAGCTCGAAAAGACGTTTCAGAGAACCCTGAAAGCCACGACACAAACCTGAAGAAGCTTAGACCTTCTTTTTGATCGGTGCACTCCATAGAGAGACCCCCCTCAAGTCGTGGCCAATGCTCAAGTGGCGTTACCAGTAAGCTCTTTTTATGTAAATTCCTGCCCCCTCTACGGGACGGCTGTCTCCTGCGACCAATCAGTAGTCCAGATCCCTCACCACTCCTTTCAACTGAGTTTATAACCTTTGACCCAAATATATGCCGCAACTCATCTTCAGCTCTCAAATGACGTGGATCCACAGCCAGTATATCAGACTCAATCAAAACTGCACAGTCAAGCAAAATAAGCAAGTGAGAAAACCATCGTTTCAACTGTTCCCCTTTGCTTTAATGTCAGCACGATCGATATCATGTCGCAAAAAACCAACACCAACTCAACTTCCTCAAATAAGTCATAAATCTCGCATAGGTAATGCCACCTCCTTGCAATGTGAATAAATGTGCGCTTAAACAATAATATTACATACTTCAACCATTTTGCGTTGTTACAAATAGCTTCGCTGCAGGGCATTAAGAGACAAGGAACAGGAGAGAGTCTAATCAATAGGCATTTCCTAGTACATCCATCAATCCTGAACAGAGGCACAATCCTCAACATACCACATGCATTGTCACCCCCACACACTAATCACATTGCAGTCCAAAGGTACCTGGTCGTGCACTCATTGTATCAGAAGCTGAAGTCGTTTCCCCATGACGTTCAAGAGCCAATTGCTCTAATAATTCGTCAACGGATTCTTCTGCAGCAGAATTAGTTTCTAGAGCGACAGATGTCGAGGTCTTGCCCTTGTTTTTACCCTTATTCTTTTTCTTCTTAGACTTGGTCACATTTGCCGTGGGTGTTACTTTCTTCTCAATGACACCATTGTTCGAACTGTCTCTGTTGTCCTCGTCCTCGTCTTCGTTTGCCAGCTCAACTTCATTATCCTAGAAAGTAACAGAAGACGCACTTAGAATTAATGTCACAATAACCACTAACACTTATACCCATGGCCTTCAATAAGATCAACTTTTATCGTCGCAGCAATTTACTCATGAGCAATAAATCTATATGAAGACTTCATCTCAAAATCAGGAAAAAATAAAGAAATAAAATACGCGCGCGCATACACATACACGTACACAAGAACAAGAGAAAACACATCGCGAAAGAGAGGTCTCCAAAATAGTTTCCATTAGAGAAAAACTTCAAGTCTGATAAATTTGTCACTGAATTATAAACTTGATGCCCCACAGCCAGTCATTTGCTTGAGCAAAAAGCTGACTGGCCAATTAAAAGAGCTACAACCAACTCCTCGAGAAACCTCCGCGCATCAAAATTAACCATAAAAACTACATTGAGTCCTTATCACTCAAACCATGTACAGATTCAGCTCAACCCTAAATCTCCAAAAACCACTTCTAAAATTAAAAAAAATCCAATTCCTTTTTTAAACCCCATCTGCTTAATAAATTGGAAACCAATTATCTATCCAGCTGTCTGATTTAAAACACAACTCGAAAATCTAAAGAAAAACCCACAAACATCACGGCCTGGTTAGAAAAAACCAGTCGATGGGAAATCGTTCGAAAGGAGCCATTGGAACGAAAACTGATAACATAGCCCCCGAAACTGAGGTGGTAGAATAGCTTCAGAGGCAAGAATTACACTAAAAACTAAAGTGATGTAAATTGGGCCTAACCTGGGATCCAAGAAGGTCGAACATATTGCGCACTGGCTGCTTAGCAACGTGAGATTGGTGGAGATCATCCTCACTGTCGGTACCATCTCCTTCGGGAACGGGAGGCGGAAGAGGCTGTTGCTCTTGAAGCATGCGTTTCAGCATGCGGCCCGACATTTGGCGTGAATTATGAAAGAGATCACCAGTGGAGGAGGAAAGTGGTGACAGCAGCAATTGACGATTGAGCAGACCGATGGAGAAATTGGAAGAGGAAGAAGGACGACCCCGGAGGACTGCACACACTTGCCTAGAATGCAACAACAGGGATGGATGAGTTCTGTGGACGAGCATCGGATGGTGGGGCTCCTTGCAAAACCCTAGCCGAGATCTGAGCTAAGTCTTTCCGCTGCGCCATTGTCTGTCTTTCTCAATTCCAGAGCTCCACTCCTCTTCCCCTTGCTTATCTCCAAGCACCGTTTCGCCACCATGGTTCGTTTTCTCTCACCCTCTCATACCCACGCTATTACCTTCTGAATCAACGTGTCATTAGTTGATTTTGAAACCAGACTGTCTTGGTTTTCTAGGGTTTATTTGTGGTTATGTCTGATTCATGGGATTGATGGGGACTGCGTTCAAGTGGGTTTCGTGGAATGTGTCCTTGCAGTATGTATTTCTATAAAATTCTTTGAATGCTTGCATGAGGAGGATGGGATTTCTGGGCAAGACCTAATTTATCGCCTTTGTACTATTCTGAGTATTAGACAAACGGTCTCATGCTAGAACACGCCTCTTGAGTAGTGTCTTGTCCTTAGTCTTGCCGGTAGATCTGTTACCTGTGAGCGTGAGAGAAGTGTAGAGAAAAATGAGTTGAATATGTACTAGGGAATGCATGTTTGTTATGCGCAAACTTGAAAACCCTGACAGCTTATTCTAAACCTCCTCCGCATTTCAGAACTTTGTTTTCAAACTTGTCAAGCTTCAGTGACGAATCTGCGTCACTACAGCTCATAGTTACTGATACAAAGGGTTCTAGAATGATGTTACGTGAGGTGTAGTGTGCGTGATACATAGTGGCTTAGTACGCCTTCGGAATCTGCTTCTTCATGTGAATAACTTATTTTCAGTGGTGGATATTAATTATACATCTAGCGGATGTGGACTGCTATCACGCCATATTCTTCATTCGGATATCAGACTGTTACATGAAGGCCTCATCAGCGCGTGAAAAGTTTTGGACATGGCACAATAGTGGTATTTTATGAGTAAAGGGAGTGACATGCACAATTTAAGGTTTTAGCTGACTTTGATGTTGGTATGGAACAGGGACGTGTAAGGACCAAAACCGTGAAGAAGGCCTCAAGGGTCATGATCGAGAGGTACTACTCTCGCATGACCCTGGACTTCCAGACCAACAAGAAGATTGCCGAGGAGGTGGCAATCATCCCGTCGAAGAGGCTCCGCAACAAGATCGCCGGGTTCGCCACTCACCTGATGAAGCGCATCCAGAGAGGGCCAGTGCGCGGAATCTCTCTGAAGCTGCAGGAGGAGGAGCGCGAGAGGCGCATGGACTTCGTGCCGGAGGAGTCAGCGATCAAGACTGACGTGATCGAGGTGGATAGGGAGACGATCGAGCTGTTGGCTCACCTGAACATGCCTCAGCTGCCGGGAGTGGTGCAGCAGGCAGCCCCTACCGCGGGAGGAGGGTTCTTCAAGCCCCAGGGGGGAGGATACCAAGGCAACAGGAACAGGAATTAGATGATAGCGAGAGGTTTGATCATGTAGCCAGGTTCTGTGCATGCTGGGTGCGGCTCCTTTTTCGTTGTTTGAAGAAATGTAGTTAATCCCCCCCTACATCATTCAACTCGGCCCTGGGCAGAAAACTCCTAGCTTGGCTGCTTCACCGAAATGACGCTGCATGCTTGTTTAACCAGATTCTGTTTACTAGATTCACTCTCATTGAAGCACTTGGCTGTACTTCTGAAACCTCTAACGCTGTAATGCACAGATGCTTACCACTCGCTGTGAGCTCCACGTGCACGAATTCACATATTGTCCAGTCCCATGTGTTTGTTTCAGGAATGTTACCTTGGCATTGTACTTAATCCCTAAGAAATGAATTCTTCAAAAAGCGCTAATCACAAAAGGTGAAGCATGTGCTGTGAAGTCATACTTGATTGCTAATTATCTGTAAGAAGAGTGCTTGGACTACTGCTCTGAAAGCAGGGCACATGACCTAAACAGATATTACTTGCTGATATTGTTTTCAGCATAGCTCGTCTCACTGCAGTAGTGACCCCACTTCGCAATGGCGTCATTCAAGAATCCAGATCACCTTCCACAAAATCCCTTTCACTGATTATCTATGATTGAGTCCATTAGGAAAATTGGGTGAATTCAGAGATTGTTTCAATTTCAAAACAATGAATCAGAGCATCGCTTCAAATAATGTCAACTGCCCACCCTAAACACGCTTTCAAATCAGCTGTACTGCCCCACCCAACCTCCTTTCAACCTTGTTGGTTGCTCTTTGATCCCAGTACTCTTATTGTACAGCATTCGTATTTTTAAATACCTAAATAAATATGTAAAAATAAAAGTTAGAGTTGCAACACTTTTCTTTTTTGTAATAGTATTCGTGCAATGTAAAAATGAATAAAATAAAAAATAATACTTCAACAGTATTAACTTGAATAAGACTGGTTTATTTATTTATTTTAAACCAATTTAATTAAAGAAAAATCTATTAGAATAGAAGTTCATTAAATTTTATAAATCTATTTATATTTAACAAATATTCTTTATCTCTCTTTTAATGTTTATAAGATATTATATGAAGAAATAGGTACATTAAAAACCACGATTAGACATCAGAAAAAATAACTAAGAAAGAGTTGCAATTTGTAGTAAACGATTTAGAATAGTACAAGCATCACTGTATGTGAGGGATTTAGATAACAACAATTCCTCAAAATTGTGTGCATTGAGTCGATAGCGAGAATTTTGAAGTGCATACCTTTACTATAGTTTGGGACCTATACTTGACAATTAGTTGAATTTGCCAAATAGTAAAAATTACAACTAATAGGTCAAAACAATTTATTTGATAATTGTTTTTGTTGTGTTTACTTTGTAAAAGTTAATTCTCTTTGATGGTTTAACTCTACATTAAAATATGCTTATCTAGTGTGTGTGAGATTTCTAACATGTTTCATGAAATTTGCTGACACTCAAATTATTCTTTGGTTTAAGGTAGGAGGATTTTAATCGAAATTTAGAAGGATAGTTTTGTTAAACAAAGAACCTGTAAATGAGTATGTATATATATATAGATGGAAATACACAATCCTCTTTGTGAAGTGTAAATGTCAACTTTAATTTATACGTATTGGTCACTGGAAGATGCAGCTGTTCAGACTCTGTAAAGTATGTTAGTGAAACATCTGCAGGAATTGTTCCAAGTTCAAAAGCAACGGTACGTTTCGCTGGTTCGGGACCAGGCAAGCACATCTCAGAAAGGAATTACGCACCTTATGATTTCCCAATTTAGTGCTGGTAATTGTATGGTATTAAACAGCATACAATCGTACATCCATCGAACAGAATAAAAGAGGCCGTATTTCCGAACAAATGAGCCACTGGCTTCTTTGACTAGGCAAAGAATCACATCGTGCAGAAACCAAAGGTATTCCTAAGCATAACCACGCTGGAGGCATTCATTTCTCCAAATCTAATAGCAGATAATACAATTACCCAGGACCGCTGTTGTCAACACCTCGCATGAAAGATGAGGCAAATACATAAACATGATACAGATAGTCACAGAAAGTTCGTTCAATCACAACTAAGCCGTATACCGGTAAACTGAAAAAGGTCATAGCCGCATTCACACAAAAATATGTTACCATAAACTTTGTCAACATCGTCCCGACAGCGAATGAGGAGCCGCACCCAGCATGCACAGAACCTGGCTACATGATCAAACCTCTCGCTATCATCTAATTCCTGTTCCTGTTGCCTTGGTATCCTCCCCCCTGGGGCTTGAAGAACCCTCCTCCCGCGGTAGGGGCTGCCTGCTGCACCACTCCCGGCAGCTGAGGCATGTTCAGGTGAGCCAACAGCTCGATCGTCTCCCTATCCACCTCGATCACGTCAGTCTTGATCGCTGACTCCTCCGGCACGAAGTCCATGCGCCTCTCGCGCTCCTCCTCCTGCAGCTTCAGAGAGATTCCGCGCACTGGCCCTCTCTGGATGCGCTTCATCAGGTGAGTGGCGAACCCGGCGATCTTGTTGCGGAGCCTCTTCGACGGGATGATTGCCACCTCCTCGGCAATCTTCTTGTTGGTCTGGAAGTCCAGGGTCATGCGAGAGTAGTACCTCTCGATCATGACCCTTGAGGCCTTCTTCACGGTTTTGGTCCTTACACGTCCCTGTTCCACCACATCCACAGCACAGTAAATACTCGAGGTAAGAAGCCGCGATTCAATTAAAAATGACCGTTATTTTCCTCCAGATACGTTTCTCATAACTCACTTCCGCAAAAACACATAATGTGATGCGAGGACCCAGCATAGGACTGGAGTCTATTGCGAAATCGCAGACGAGGTCCACTAAGAGTCCAATTAATCTCCACCACAGGAATTACAATTCACACATGTGATGCCCCACATGGAAGCACCTTGAAATGAATCCAGCGTCCAAAGGTAGTCTAAAGAAACGACTAGAGACCCGATGTGCAACACGAATACTCCACAACTGAAACATTCAAATGCTGCATGGGTCTCAAATGATCATCAGACTGAAACAAGTGTTTAACACTTCAAAATACTTTAATGTCTTTATCATCAAAAGCGCTTCACTCAAACTTTAAAATCCAATCTAAAGCATTCACGATAAAAATATGTGTCATCTCCAAGACATCAACCCAGGGTCTTGAACCAAGACACAGAAACAAGAAGCCACAAATCGACAGCACGACCAACTCGTTATCACGAAACCCCTAATTCACGAAGTTTGCTCTACGATTCAAGCTAATGTCAGCTTCTTCGTGGAGGTGGACGAAACCACACAATCGTCCGATACCAAAAACCTAACATGAACACCAATACCAAATAACTCCAAAATAAAAAATAAAAATCAGGGTCATTACAGTCTCAAATTAACCACCTCCCGTACAGCAAACAGGCAAGCAGCCCTTAGCCCTAAAACTATGGAACTCGGGTTAGCAAGACGTGTGCGGCATTCAAGACCACGACAGAGTTCGTGCTAAGAGGAAAATGGAACAGAAATAAAGAAGGAAAGGAAGAAAAGTAAGGCGTACCATGGTGGCGAAACGAAGCAAGCACACGCACTGGGGCGAGAGCTGGTGGTCCGGCGCGAGGGAGAGAGTGGGCAATCGATGACAATGGTGGTGCGGAAAGACTGAGCTTTACGCACGGCTAGGGTTTTGGGGGAGGAGAGCGCCAGACCGGTCTTAGGTTACCGTGCTATTGCGCTGGTCACCGCGGGCGACTGGGTTCGGCGGGTTTAGGTCACCAGGTGTGGATTTAAAGTTCGTTCGTTCATTGACGACGAGGAGGCCATGTAAAAAATAATAAATTAATTAAAATTAAAATTAAAAGTTTGATGTAGTGTTTAATTTTTTTCTTTTTGAAAGCTTGCTCTGGTTGCATCTTTAGCCACAAGCATCAGTCTTGTAAAATAAATCATCTTACCTAAATCATTAGTGTATTTGTTTTAATTAAGATATAATTCAATGAATTTTAGAAAAATGTTTAATTCTGGATAAACTAATTAATTGGTTAAAATATGAATATACATAAAATTTGAATCTAAAATATCAATTATTTTTACTAAATATATCGTAATTACACGTCATTCTTAGGTGCGGTTTGTGAAATCAAGTGAAAATTTTATGTTTTTAATTTGATTTGTACATATACATTCTTTTCCTCTTATATGATTCATTGTTAAACTTTAAGTTTTAAATAAATTTCTGACTAAATTTTAGGTATCGATTATATGTTTATTTTTTCATTTACTTACATACACCAGCACAAAAAATAATAAAAACCAAAAAAATGCAAGAGTGGGTAGAAATTTCTTAGTTATAATCATAACAATTATCAAAATAATCATTGACAAAATGGTTGCAAAATGACCATTATTTTTCTTATTTGTGAAACTTAAAGCTACGAAAATACAAATGCAAACTTAATGCATTTGTTCGTTTTTTATCTTTTCTTTTCTTTCATTCTTTCCTTCTATGCCCTATTTTCAAATTAAATAAAATAAATTTTGATTTTTTTGTAATTGAACCAAGAGAAGACTAATTCCAGTTAAGAGGTTAGTGAAATGTTAACGATGTATATGATCACCACAATTTTGATTACAATTTAAGCCTAAAACCATTCTGATTAATTTGCATAGAGTAAAAGCCAATGAGTTTGCACAAATAGAGTTGTGTTGCTTAAGGAATTGCAAAGGTGCATGAAAGTATGCCACTGGGTCATTAATTCATTTTTTTTTTGTTTTATTTTTTTAACAAAAAAATAAAAACATACATTTTTTCATGAATTGTAGATAGACCAATTACTCTTATTTTTTTATTATCATCCATTATTGTCTCATGTTGATAAATTACATTGAAAAAGAGTTTAATATTTCTTCATGTCAATATTAGAATACAAAACTTATTCATGTTGATCAAATGCACCATGAGAACACAGTATATATAATTAGTCAAATATGTAACATTTTTTAATTTCAAATATTATTATATTTATAAACACGAATTTGTTTATTGTAATGTTTTGAGATTCCAACTTCAATTTCAAACAAGTATAACCCATCACCAGTTATATAAATTTCACCCATGTAAAAAAATACCACAAAACTAAAATTGTGCTTATAACTTATGATGCACAACAATTCAAAGTTGTTATTTTTTTCAAAACAACTAGCTAGTATGCTAACCCAATACTTAATACTTAGTTCCTAATTATGTTGGGGTCTTTAGACAACACTATTTTGTTTTGTGGCATAATGATACTTGGTAATTTAGTTATCTCACTATTTAAAACCTGTGATAATTATGTATGTTATCAATGAAACAAAATCAATCATTTTTATCCGTTTTATACAATTAATATAAATGTTAGATATGGACACCATTAAACACAAAAATATGCTAGAAACAAGAGGCTAGTTTCATTACATATATTATTGACAAAGCAATAGTTGTAACTTTTTGTTACACATAAACGAGTTTGCATTAAATTGTATTATAAATCACTGAATTCTTCGTTTTGTAGAAATTTAGATATGATTTGTTACAGGTTATGATAAAATGTAAGAAACTTAAATTAGTTTAATATGCATGCTCTATATACACATACAGAAACATTGTATAAAAAATTAATTTAACTTTGAAAAAATAAACATAATCAAATACAAGTTACTATTGATTTCAAGGTCAAATAGTTAATTGTGTAAAACAATCTAAAATATGGCATTTAAATTTATCAACAATAATAATAATAATGATGTATGTATGTAACATGTATTTGTAGAGAGGTACATTTAACTTTAATACCTACAATGTTTCAATTTACAACATTTTGCATTATCCATTTTCAAAACTTTGAAATTAAATTAGATATTGCTGACAATTGCTTTGTTGAAATATCAGGATATTTATTTTATTGATCATAAGTTAAATTAATGGTATTTATATGTGTTCCAAATCTAAATAGGCTTAGAATGAATTTAATGCCACAATATACTAACTGGGTGATTTGACATGAACATTACTAATAGATTAAAATCAATGTTGATTGTGAGTAAGTAAATAAAATATTATTCATGTTGATTAATTTTTATTTAATTTTAATAATGCCTAAACAGAGGATGTTAAGACCACATATTAAACTCATTTGCATTGGAATCTTTGGAAACGAATTCAAGTATAACATAAAGACTCTTACGTGAATGCATGGACAAATACAAATATTTTACTAAAATACAAGCATTTTTTCAATAACCATGCTTTAAATTGTATGTAACACTAGAATTTAGTCGTGGTGTTTATTTTTATTTCAAAACTTTTACTTGATACACTAAGTTTCAAAATCAGAAGCAGTTTATTTACAGATATAAATAAAATAATATAATTGTAGTTAACATTTATTTTCACAAAAGCTAGCTTGATGATTCAAATAAAATAAAATAAAATAGTATCTTCTTCAAAAAATGGAAATATATATATATATATATATATATATAGTTTGATTTTAATACTTAATATTAAATTTAATTGTATCAAATATTTTTACTAAATGTGGATATTAGTTGGTTATATATTTCTTTCTAATGTTTTAGTTGAATTCTGTAGGTTTGGTTCTTATTCATATCAGAAAACGTTGATATTACAACCATACCAGCAGACCAATTCATTCAACTCGTCTCATCTATGATCACATATTTCTTTCAGTTTTGTCGGATTATGATCTTTCAGGAAAAAAGTTGATGTTTTGTCACTTAGTTTTATTTTATTTTTGTGAGATTCATGAAAATAAAACATTAAACAGTGTTTTTAATTATCGTGTTGGAAAACTTACAAACTTTATGGATGTTGAACATTCTAAATTTTTGAAATGTAATATTGACATAAATAAAAAGATAAATAATAAATAATTTCAAGCTTTCACAATTCAACTCATAAGAAGCTTTAACAATATCAACGTTTCATCTAAAAAAAACTGATTTCTTTTTTTCATATTTAAAAATATAGAATTTCATTTTTGTACACAATCAGCTATCACAATATCTTGTTCTTGATATTCCTGCTCTCTAAAGTTTTAGAGATGCCTAAAAAACAATACATTCAGAAACAACAAGACTAGCTTTCTAATTCACATTGTTACTTTTTTTATACAATTACTTTTTGGCCTAAAGATAATCATTTATTTTAAACCCGTTTTTGCCATTCAAAAATATACATGTACCTTTGTTTTGCATGTATACGTGTTATATATATATATATATATATATATGTATAGTGAGAGTGAGAAAGAAAAAAGAAAAATAGAAAAAAACTAAAAATAAGTGTTTATATTACAACAAGCATATATATATATATATATATATATATATATATCTGTTGTCGATTCATAAGTATACGTGACACATTGTATATGAAAATTACAAATACAATGTCAGTTGCAATAAAAAAAATGAAGTACTGATATATATGTATATATATATATATATTGTATCAGGAAGGTAATAGAACTTGTGTTTAAAGTGGGCTCTGACCTTCTTCCTTGAAAGTATGAAGACCCTGAATCATACAATACTGCATGTAATATTGAATAACATCACAAAAAACAGTTCTAAATCAAGCATCATGCAAGGTAGCTAATTTGTATTCTCAGAGAAGGAAATAATATTTCTGGCAACAATAATAACAATAGAATTTGTAACCCATTTCAAGCTGACAAAGAATATGTTATTTAAAATAATAAGAAACAATATAATAAACAGCATTTAAATGCTTCAACAAATGTTAGTTAATTCAAAGTTTGGTCGTAATCAGAATTAGTTTAATTCCACTTCATGGGCTTCAAAAAGTAAAGAATTTCCAGAATAAATCTACAATTGAAAAAAACCGATATTTAGTAGAAAAAAAATATATACACTACTCTGGAATAGGGTTAACACTGGTTGGAACTACGACTCTGATCAGAGGGCCGTGTGGGGCTCAAGACCGTGCCCTGGTCACGGCGACCGGAGACCGCGGGTCCCAAGGATCCTTCCCAAAACCCTAGCCGTGTCCAAAGCCCTTTCTCTTTCGCATCGCCACTGCTCGACTCGCAGCGCCGGAGCGCCATCTCTCGTTCCCGCGCGCCCGTCGTTGCCTCGTTCCGTCAACATGGTAATGCCCCCTCGCAAACGGCCCGTGCAGTGGTGCTGTTATCTCTCTACTCTTTCCAGTAGCCCCAAATTGCGTGACAATGGCGCATTTCGGTACTGTAGGGTTTGGTAGTATGACTAGAGCGCGTGGCGTTCTCGGAGCTTTGTAATCGATGAATTAGATGGCGTCCGTTTTAGGTTTGGGATTGTGTTTGTGTGGTTTTTAGACCAGGCTAGCGTCTGTTACGGTACTAATTTTTTTGGGTATTGGGAATTTATGGTCCTGCGGTGTGTAATGCTCCTCTCTGGTCGTGGTTTGATTTGGATGTCATTTGTCTTCATTACGGCGTCATTGCTCAATCAATATTGCTGTTGATATCCCCAAAGAAAAAGAGTGCAGGCCTTGCAGTGTGTAGTGTCGAAATTCTCCTGGAATGGTCTGTTTATTGGGGTACGTATTGGTTTTAATGGTGCTGTTGCTTGTTCTTTTGTTTTGGCAGACTAAGCGCACTAAGAAAGCCGGAATCGTTGGGAAATACGGTGTGTTCTGATGTCTCTTTTGGTGTTCATGGATGTGGTTCTCATTATAGTCCTGCTTGTGCGCAGAATGTCTGTTGTTTCGTAATCTGAAGCCTTCATTGGCTATCGTTTTGCTCATTAGCCTCAGTATTCAGGTTTCTGAGGACGTGCACCACTTATTGTTCCTGCAGGTACCCGATATGGTGCCAGTTTGAGGAAGCAGATCAAAAAGATGGAGGTCAGCCAGCACTCCAAGTATTTCTGCGAGTTCTGCGGGAAGGTTTGTCTCGGTTTCTGCCATAGGTCTAACGCAATAATTTTAAAAACTTAAAGCACTGATGCATGCAGAGGCCTTTCAATTGAGAAACTTGAATTGCATCAGCTCGCAGTGAAATGTCGTAGAGGTGATTGTACGCCTGAGATGCATTCCTATTTCATTGAGGTGGTCCAATGTTGGATCTGATCTCTCCAATTCTAATTTCGTACATTTGATTCATGTTTCTACCGGACGGAAAGGAGGTGTGCTCATCTAAGTTTCCTGAGTCGTCCTCTCTTTTTTCAGTTTGCAGTGAAGAGGAAAGCTGTTGGCATTTGGAACTGCAAGGACTGTGGCAAGGTTAAAGCTGGAGGTGCTTACACCTTGAAGTGAGTGATATCTGTACTTTGTGATTTACGCTTGAGCACTTTATTAGGTTGCAGTTCTAGGATGCGTATGTGAAATATCTAATTCAAACCTACGCACTGTGCAACCAAGTAATTTTTAGCAGCTCACTTGTCACATTCCAACCACAGTTTGGTGATCTGACGATACATTATGTGTTACAGCACGGCTGCTGCAGTCACTGTGCGTAGTACGATCAGGCGTTTGAGGGAGGCTACCGAGAGCTAGACTGTCTAACTATTATAGCCCTTTGAAGCTCCTTCTATTCATTTGACGGAAGGCCACAGTGCTTGCCACTTGAATATGACATAAGCTCTTATTGAGGCTTCTTTTCCTTCGTGCCTGGGAAGTGTTTGCAAATCTTAATGTAAGCTGATATCATTTCTTGGATGTGAAATATGCGATGACTCATGAATTGAACAATTGCTGCCAATAGTGTGCAACTTGAGGTACTTTAAATAGCCTAGATGATGCTAGAGAATTATATGTTATTTATTTACATTTTAGAATAAAATTAATCACATCATACCACGAAACAGTAAAAATTGAATTGGTCTCAAACATTTTTGTTAACACATATCAAGTCTTCGTTTCATTGAGAAATAATCAAATTGTGACAAAGAATTGCATTGCAGATATATTTTATTTGATTTACATTGTCTATTACATTTATCACCTTAAAAGACATCTCTTAAATATCCTAAAAAAAATAAATTTAATGAATGTTATGAGTGATATTCATTTTTCTTGGAACTTAATATTATAAATGTGATTTTACAAATGCTTCTATAAATCTATGATTCTTCTTACTCAATATCTCTTCTAATTTGATCTTCTAATTTGATAATAATGAGAACATGTATAAATGTTCTTATGATTGTTTTATAATTTGGGTTCTATTTGCCCTAAATACATGTTAAATTTATAAGATAATTTTCAAACCAAATTTTGAACTTTTTGAAATTTTGTTGCTATATAAACAAATGAATATACTTTAAACCTTCAACTATTCAATATTTGATCTAAGAAGAAATTAAAAACATCCATTTGACACCAATGGATGGATTTTATAATTATTATACTTGCATAAATGAGAGTAAGTTAGGAAATTTATTATATTAAACTCTAATTTATATTATAAAATATTTATATGTTAGATACCAAAGTTGATTATTACATAAGTTATTTATAACTTATATTATTTTAACTAATTAATTGTTATTTGACTCATAAACTATAGAGATGTTTAAGAATTTGTCTTATGTATGTTTTAAAGTTTTCTTATAAAAATAGAGATGTTTAAGAATTTATTTTACATATTTGCATGTTATTGATTATGTCTTTATATAAGAGCTTTAAATTAATTTTATTTCATTGACGATTATTATTATCAACTCTTTTGTAAGAAATAAGATGGAAACATTTAAATTCTATACAATATTGAAAACATTTATCTTAGCTATAATAATGAATGTCATGTTTATATTTGAGTAAGTCAATAAAGAAATATAAGTCAAGATAAATTAATTAAATAGATTAAATTAGAGGACACCATCTTTCTTAGTTTGACTTTGTTTTTATATAACTTCATTAAAATAATTTTTATTTTCCAAAATTTTATTCAAGAATAATTTAATACATTATATCCAACACTCTTCTACTTGATTATATAATATTTCTTAAGATCTTAATTTTTATAATCAAACTTTAAAACTATATTTATTTATTTATTATTATTTTTTATATAATCATAAATAAATTATAATTTTTCTTGCATAGTAGCATAGATTTTATTCTTTCAAAATATACTCATAGTTTCAAAAATAAATATAAAGTCTTTATTTTCTCGATAATAAAGATTTTGTTATTTTATATTTATTAAAGAGTATTATATATAAATAATACTAGTATTGATAAAAATCAAGTCTTTGTTGAAGAAAAGAGAATTTAGAAGTCACAATACTTAATATTAATAAGGTTGTATACAAAGCTAACTCTCACTTCCAACATTCTTTATTTATAGATGGTGGTTAATGCTTGAATAGACATCTTTCATTCTTTCACTTTTATATTTATCAAAAAATATATCTAATATATCTTTTAGCATCTTATTTACTACAAGGATATTCTTTGATATATATTTTATACTCTTATTTATTTTTTGGATATTCCTTATTAAATCTTTTATCTTGTTGACATTGTCTCTTAGTCCTTGATCTTATGGTTGGTCTATAGGATAGCCCTTCAATAATCCAACAACCATTTCTTTGGCTACTAGCAACTTATTTAAGATTAAATCTTTTACATAATAGTTTATTCTACTTTTATTCTTATTTACTTTAACACTCTTATTTTGCTACTAGTCAAAGGTTTTCATACCTAATACATTTGTCAATATGTAATGTCTATCTTTCACTAATATTTTTGTAAGAAAATCAACAAGTATGTCTTCTATTGCATAATATTTCATGTCAATCCATGCTTATGCCAACAATTGTATACATAAGTGAACATAGTATTGCCTTATATAGAACACCTTGTATTTGACCTTCATCTTTAATAAACTCATCATTTGTGAAGTTCATTAACTTCAAATTGGTATCCAAAGGTGTTTCAATGAGCTTGTACTCCATTATATTGAATTGTTTCAATACTTCTTCAATGTACTTGCTTTCACTCATTGTAATTGTCTTATTAGGACCATCTCTTACAAATTCCACTCCTAAACAATAATATAATTCTTTCAAATCACTCATCTTATACTCATTGTTTAACTTTACGTCCAACTAATCTATTTTCTTCAAGTTATTGGTCAAGTTGATTAAATCATCAATATATATGATAAAAATCAATAAGAATTCTTTTGATTGTATCACATATATACAATGATTAGCCTCATCTCTTACAAATCTCTCATTTACAAGGAATGTGTCATTACATTGGTACCATGCCTTTAATAATTACTTGAGGCTATACAAGAATACCTTCAATTTATAAACAAGGTGTTGTTTGCTTTCTTGAATAAATCCTTGAATTTGATATATATATATATATATATATATATATATTTAAGACATATGTTTTTATAATCATTTGATGTATTTATAAGTCAATTGCTATCCCAAATTGCCAAAAAGGTTCTAGTTGTGGTGAATTTTGCTAAGAAAGAATATGTCTCATTGAAATTAAAACCAACAACTTGTGAGTAGTCTTTGGCGACTATTTTTGTCTTGTATCTCATAATAACATCTATTGCATCCCTATAGGTTTTAAACATCGACTTATAATCAATTAAAGATTTGGTAGAAGTTGAGTTAATTTTCATGTTCCATTATTTATAAGTAATCGATATTCTTCTTCTATGGTCTTTTTTTTACTTCATAGCATTTTTAGGGTTTATTGCATTATAAAAACTTAATGAATCAACAAGAATTGCAACATTGGCATATTCTTCACTTACTCAAAAGAAAACATAGTTCTTCTATTATTTACAAAGAGGTCTTTTTTGCTCAAAAGACATATTTTTTTATTTTAAAAAGATATATCTTTTTATTTAAAGGTTTTTCTTTATGCTCAAAAAATGTAAGACATCTTTTAATTTGATTCTCTTCATTTGTCTTTTTACAAAAATTTCTACGATAATAGAGCCAATTCCAATAGTTTGGACTATGCCAAAGTTTTCTATCAAAATTCTTATTAATAGATTCTCTTGATTAGTGTTAAATAAATATTTGTATAGAATTGTATGCTTGGTTGCATTTGAATAAAAAAAAACTAATTAGACTTTGCAACCATGGATGCCCCTTTTCTTGCTATGAATGCAAAATCATTTCTTCTATATTTTTTATGTTCATTTTAAGTATTTTTTAATCTTTATTTTTGGCCTTGTAATAATTTTGTACAAAGTGACATGATCTTTAAAAAATATAAAAAATTCTCACATTTCTTCTTACATTTTTAAATTGATTAGAATAGCTATTTTTGCCTTGTATTAAAAAAAGAGCCAAATCTTCACTTTAAAGCTCATTTTTTCCCTTCTTTTTAGTTACATTATGGACAATTCTTGCTATTATATAGTTTATTGTGAATTCTTTTAACTTGATGGATTCTAATCCCACAATGAGGTAATTTTAGGACTTAAGAAGGTTTATGAATAAAGTCATAACAATATCACTATCTTCTAGAGGCTTGTCAACAATTGTTAATTAATTTGCAAGAACATTTATTTTGTTGACATGAGCCATTAGATTTTCATCTTTTTCTATCTTACAAGTTAAAATCTTTCTTCTTGTAAAGAGAATGTTAAAAAGGTTCTTGCTCTCAAGAATATTACAAAGAGTCTTTTATGCTTTAACTAATCTTTTGCAAGAAATAATATATAAAAAAATTAACTTTACCAAAATTAGTAGAAATTATGCTAAATGGTTTCTTTTCATGTTGTTTGAAGTCATTCTTTTCCTTCATATCAACATGCATGCTTGGAAGATCATTACTTTTATCTATAATATCTCATTAATATAATGAAGCCAACAAAAGCTTAATTTTTTATCTTCTTATGGTAAAACATTTCTCTTTGAAACTTTTCAATGACCATAAAGTCCTCACTTTCAAGTAAATCCATGTTTAAAAAACAAATTTAACAAAAAAGATCAAGTGAAAGAATTCTAAAGCTCTTAAAATCAACAAAAAGGTATTGGTGGCTTACAAACCTAGAATGTCCTTTTTATAAATAAATAAATTTTTTTACTCTAAAAATACTATCAACTTCACTTTTAAGACTCTCACAAGTCCTATAAATCATATAAACATCTCAAGTCAGATTTTTTTATCATTAGATCACTTCTATGCTCACAAATCACTTCTTAGCACTATTAGAGGTGTTTTTAAGTACCTTGAGCATTTTTAAGATATAAAACCACAAAGTTAGTCTACCAAAGAACTAATAAAATAAAAAAAATTAAAAATTAGAATTTTAAAATACTAATTTGAGAAATAAAATATATTTTAAATTCAAAATAAATTTAATAATAAGTAAGAGTAATATAAGATCTAAATCTAAATTTGAATTTAAAAGTTTGGATATTCCAAATCTTTACATCAATAACAATAATATGATCCTTCTTCACAACAAAAAAGACTCTATAGAACTTCAAAACTCACAAGAAAATGTGAGTGGGGCTACAAACTACTAAAGAAAAACAAAGTTAAAAGTCACAACAATTAATATAAACAAGATTGAAAATAGTTCTTTTTTATTCTAAAAGCCATCTCTTTGACTATTAACAACTTCCTTAAGGTAATTTTATTTATATGATAATTTATTATTATTTTAATTTTACTTATTTTAACAAATTTTAATAGTAATAAAAAATAAGAGAAATAAGAGCAAGAAATAAAGACACCAGTTTTTCTAAAATCCAAGTACCAAGTAGAATTATCTGATTCCAATCTAATCAAAATAAAGTACAATTTTAAATTATATTTTGAATAAATAATAAATTAAACAATTTATTTTATAAAATATCTTAATAATCTATATCAATATAAAAAATAAGTTTTTGATTATATTATATAAAACATTATTTTTATTTTATTTTATATTACCTGGTTTTATTCGTTTGATTTATTTTATTTCTGTAAAAATAAATTCTGGTCTTCAATTATTACATGTTATTATTAATAAATTATTTAATTTAATATTTTTTAAAAATAATTTAATTCTAAATTTATATGTATCAAATTATTATTATATTTTACTTTATTTTAAATTCTTAATAATAGGTATAAAAATAATATTTTATCTATAATTATAATTATTAAAATATAAAATTATATATTTTTTTATAGAATTTAAGAATTCAAATTGAATAGAAAATATTAAAATCTTAGCTTTGAGATAGTAATTTTTTTTAACAATATTTTGTTATTTTTTCTAAACTAATTTGATTAAAACAAGTATTATTAAAAATACTAATAATTTTTTGAAATAATAATTTAAATTTAAATATTTAGAGATATTATTTTTTCTAAATTATATCATGAATATAAAAATAAATTAGAAACATAAAAATTATTTTTGCTAAGAGATAGTAATAAATCCTGGTTCATCAAATTTTTTAAAGATTAAATTTATTTTAAAGATTAAATTTATCATCAATAACCTTTAATTATTTTTTTAGTTTATTAATTTTATTTTTTAAAATAAATAAATAAATAAATAAATAAATAAATAAATAAATAAATAAATATTTTAACTTTTTTTATAAATGTAGCAAAAAATCTTTGCAAGATTTTATATTCGAAATTCAACAAATAAATTTTGTAAGATTTTTATGTAATATGATTTTGAAATTGTTTTTGTAAAAAATGTGTTCAATTTTCAATGGAGCATACACAAAGGATTGAAGATATGAACAAGACAAACAAATCTAAAAATAAATTATAAAACTAATTATAAATTATTTCCAATTTATTTATTCAAGTAACATATTAAATATTCAGTTTTTTACATGTATAAAAAAGAATATGTTTTCTTCAACTTACTAAACTCAATTTAAAAAAGACGAGTTTTGAATTTTCACTTTTTCTATAAAATTTGTTGTATTTTACTAAGTTTTTTTTTGTAAAATTATTAAAAAGTCTAATATATATATTAGACTTTCAAATTATTTCTAATATATATATTAGACTTTCAAATTATTTCTAATATATATATATATATATATATATATGAATGAAAACTACTTGGTTATCTTTAGATTAGGCCACATTATTTGTAACCAACAGTTGATTGCCGAAATCCAATCCTTTTTGAGTTGAGATCATATTTTGACTTGATTTTTACTATATTGCACCTAATATTCAATATAAAATTAACTATTTAACTTAAGGATTTTTTCGACTTTACCGTTTTATTATTTTATCAATTAGTTTATTTTTCAAGAGAATAGGTTAACAAGCAGGTTGGAAACAGCAACCACAATTATCAAGTTTATTTATTTTGGTAGATTTGTTCAACATGCACCCATCAAACAACAGTAAATGCAATTTCATAACAAATAGAAAGAAAAAAAAAAGGAAAGCAAAGACGAATTCGGACAAAGATACAAACAATTCTCTGTAGTGAACGTTGTGAATAGGCTCTAATATTTGCACGACCTTGAGGAATACTGAAAAATTCACAAAGCTTTCTACACTGTCTCCAATGGACACAGTTGCCGAAAGGTGGGTAAGAGTTAAATTAAACGAACATGGTGCTTGAGGACAAGCCCTCCATTGTAAAGCCCACAACGCAAAAGCCTTGAATCCAGAGCTAAAAACAAACTAACCCAACCCCTACAATATTGATTTTTGGCCAGTACCCAATGGAGTTGTGCATCCAATGCCAAGGTCCCAAGCGAACTGCTGATCATGAATGAGCAACTCTCTCTTCTTAGCAGATCACCTTAATTAACACTAACTTCAAACATATATTCATGTTTGAGTAAAGAATGCTTATTCCATGAAGTCTTAAGCCTAACTGATCCTGGTAACTACATACATACACACACCATGTCCCTGCAGTAATGGATCAGACTTATGGAGTTGACGGCGAGAATTTTTGTGGACCTGAAGCTAGTTTGAGGTGTAATCTGAGTGGACTCTTGACACACTGGGAGGCATCAACTTCACAACCCTAATCTGTACAAAATCAGAAACAAAAGTGAGGCGTCGAAGGTGCCGCATGATACCGTAGAGAGAGAGAGAGAGAGAGAGAGAGAGTATGTTTTTTCGTTTGTTTGCTTGTGTCAGGCTGGACCAACTTTGCGGGTTTGACTTGACGACGGAGCACAGTGACAGTTGACGTGGCACAAATGGGTACCGTATGGCTTTTTATTAGGAGATTCCAAGAGCTACTGTGTTGTATTTGATACTGTGATAGGAACATGCTGCGATGCGCAGTTGGTCATGATAAGCGAGTACCAGGAGGCAAAAAAAGGAGGAATGATATATGTACGTGAAGATGACGTGGAGTATCTGTGGCAATTGCGAATACATTATTTCACGATGCATGGGGGAGGGTTCAGAACTGTAGACCAGTCTTGTTTTTCTCTCGTTTCGGCATTCATCTGAGCGAATGGGGGCGAACAATTCACTGGTGCTTAGTGAGAGGAGAGAGTCAAGGAAGAGGACATGTGGTTATCCACAAGGTGCGATGTATCAGCCGCACCGCTTGTGGGGTCGGCCATTCGCGAGAAAGAGAGTGGTTAGTGTGTAGAAAGTTGGAAACGGTCAGGTTTGAGGCTGTTTACAAGAACTTGCAAAAACATTTCGAAGACCGTAGAGTTGTGGGATAGATCACTAGCCTCGGTGTTGCACCGGGTCATGTCCATCATCAAGTTGATATCTACAACGTCAAGTTTGTGTCAGCCATGCACGCCGGAGCCTTGTCGAGTTGCCAGAAAGCAGGTGGCCCCTGTTGCGGGTCCATTTGTCACGATCTTTGAAATCCAATGGCTCTGAGTCCAGTAAGTGCAATTCTTTAATAAGTTCTGGAGAGTTCTCTTCAATTTTTTTTTTCATCTTTGGCAGAAAAGTATGACCTAGTCCTGCGATACTTCTCTCGCACTTTTCGCATACTTGCAATCTTTGTTGAGGTTTTCGAATCTTCTAGATCCTGGAAAATGAATCAGAAATATGCTACTGTAACCATCATGCTACGGTAGTGGAAACAAATTTCCTTGTGACTTGCACGATGGTGGGGTTGTGTGCGGTTGCGAGCCTATGGTCAATACATCAACATGACTCTCTCCGCCCTCGGCATTGTAATTAACTATGGACTTCTTGAAGATGCGGTTGCAATAAACTGTATTTTTACTCATGAAATGAACTTTACGGCAACTAGACGTCACGAAAATGATTTTTGTAGATCCTATGTTCAGTTCCTGCTCAACAGCTAAATAAAAAGGCTCCAGCAGCTTGCTTACCACAATGCGTTTTTTGTTTTTGTTTTTGTGAAAACTTGAGACTGCTTATGTGCTTACATACCCAAACCACGTAGTCTGCTTTTATTAGTCTCGGAATTAGGCTGTAGGTGAGATTCTATTTTCTGCTACTCGTGTCAACTAGTTAGGTGATTGTATACCACAATTAATCATGCTTTGCTTTTGATGGGGATGACCTCACGAGACACTTTATTTACAGAATTCATGTGTTTCATCTGGTACGTCATGCAGACCAACCACACAACTCATGTTAAGAGTGGCCCGATCCTCCTTTTCCTCCTTCTCCTCCTCCTCCGATGATGCTGCGTTAAGTCTGTATATACAACTGTATCAATCTGCAAGCAGTGGGACGCCACACTGTCTGATGAAGCTTCAAACAGACATCGTCGTTTAATATCCTTCACGATCCGATGCACTGAAAGAGCTCTACCTTGCAAGTTATTAGCGAGACGGATACGGTGCAACAAAATGACCTCTCTCGTAAAAATTGTGTTCGGAGTCCTGGGTGAGTCCTGCTGTGACCAAATGCCTGCTTCGTGAAGACATCGAATTCATGAGTAGTATGACTCTAAGTGCTTCAGCTACTCAAATGCAGACAATAAATGAAATAGAAGTCTGGCTATTTATTTATTTTCATTTATTCATGTATCTTTAAAAACGAACTATATAATAGTCGTTGTATTGTATGATAGGGATACTTCAGGATCTTTCTTCGTTAAATCGCTAACATATCTTGTATTTAAATTTTTTATAGAATTATCTCATTTTTCCCATTTAATTTAAGGTAATATATGCATGCATATACATACACACACACACACACACACATCTATATATATATATATATATATATATATATTACTAGTTCTGTCATTTATTTGTTCATTTCCTGCATGAGATCTTATATTTTAATTAATTCAGAAAAGAAAATGTAGTGAGCATCTGATCAGTTGTTTGTTGAATGTGTGAACATGCGCGTGGCAGGTAACATAACTGCCTCATTTTTATTCTTGTCACCAGTGTAAGGCTCCTAAACCTCCTACAGCTAATCAAAAACACAGAAGTTACGACCTGTTGTAGGAAGGCTACATGTCATTTCCAGTAGAATGTGGAATTCTCTGGCCATTTTCCATCGGCGGATTCGCTGTAACCACACATGTCACATCTTGTCTACGAATTATTGTTCCAGATTCTAGACTTTGACATGTGGTCGTTGTCAATATTATGAACGTGATAGCTTCCTTCACTTCTGAAGCTTCGATGTAACTCAAAGAGAACTGAGGTTTCGGTGACGTCCTTGCAGGCCAACATTCTGGAGGATTGTGAAGAGCCGGAAAGTAGATGATTTTTCAGGGATGCCGTATTTAACAGCGGCGCTCAACACCTGTTTGTGGACTCTCTACGGCCTCCCTTTCGTCAGTTTTCAAGTGCTGGTGGTCACTGTAAATGCCGCTGGCGCTGGCCTTGAGATTTCCTACATCATCATCTATCTGATGTACTCCGAGGGGAAAGCTAGAGTACGTCACACGTCTTAGTCTGGCTAATTTTTATGTCCCAGTCCAACTGGTTGTATTAAGGCAGTCTTTGTTGTATGCCACACTGCACTAACATGCCGCCTGTTTCGTTGTGTGCAGATGAGGGTGGTGAAATTTTTCGCAGTTATGGTTTGTGGCTTCATCCTCATGACAGGGCTGGTCCTAGGCCTGGTCGATAGTGTCGACACTAGGAAAACTATTCTGGGGGTTATGGGAGCTTTTCTGGGATCGCTCATGTATGCAGCTCCTCTCACAGTCATGGTGCGTCACTCGCAACTGTTCACACATTTTTATCGCTCAGGCTCCATTGTACCCAGAAGGCATGCATTCTTTGTAGTGACGTCCATGTTTGATGGTGCAGCGGATGGTGATCCAGACGAAAAGCGTGGAGTTCATGCCTTTTCTGCTGTCTCTCTTCGTCTTCTTGAACAGTACCACTTGGACAATCTACGCAGGTGTTCCTGAGACCGATCTTTACATCCTCGTGAGTACTCTCTGCAACAGTGTCTTGGTTAAAACTTGCTATACATGTTTTGGTGCTTCTCAGCTTCTGTGCGAGTGTGTGCGCATGGGTGATTTAGTTTACGAATGCTACTCGCATATATCTTTTTCCTGTACTGCAAAACATTCTCTGAAACCATACTCCATATGCAGATTCCGAATGGACTTGGACTGCTACTGGGGACAACACAGCTCGTCCTGTACGCGATGTACCGCGGATCAACTCCACGGAAGCCATCCCTTCCAACTTTCAGTTACAAACTGGCAGTGGAGACCCCACCCAAGTTTGCTCCTGCTCCAGATAGCAAGGCAAATCGGCCCTTAGGTCCTGGTAATCAGAAAGCGCCTGAAAATGTGTAAAAACTATCAATGCAAGTTTCATGTACTTGTTCCTCTGTAAATAGATCACTCTTGTAATCACCTTCCAGCGTAAACAGTGTTAATATTTAGAACTTCAGCAAAATACCGAACAGCAACACTTCCCGCAAATATTGACTGCTCATTCCGACTCATTCTAACATCATCTAATCAACTTCCGTTACAAGCAATGAGAAATATCTGGCTTGAAAACTCCCAGATCGATAACATGGATACTTCGGCGCGGTATGGGTATCCCTCGATAACTGGCAAGCACGACAGTGCAGACCGTCAGTAGTTAATCCACAGCATCACCGAACTGAACGATTTCGACCCACTCCAATTTAGATCGAACCTGGTATCCACAGAACAAAGTGCCGGCTGTCCCGTGTTCTAGATTCTGCGGATCCACCGCGTTGCGAAAGCGTCGGCTGGGTACCCAGTTTCCGAGAAGGGCGAGGATGTGTTCAAAGGCAGATCATGTGCCGCAGAGCAGCAGCAATCAGACAGTCTTGTGACCAATTCCGGATCTTTGCCAGCTGATAGTGTTTCGATCCATACTGCGAGGTCTCGATCGGATCTCTGCGGAGCTTCTCCATCCACAGGGACAGTCGCAAGTGTGCCAGATCTCTGCCGTCGACATAGATTCCGTTTGCTTCCAGGGTTGCATCTCCACGAAAGCTTGTGTTTTTTCTACGCTCCAGCAGGAGCTGATAACAGTAATAGTGTTCTGGATTCAATGCCTACTATATCTTGATTGGAATGGGAACATACTATCCCAGACGATTTTACCATCCCATGAAAGTTTCTGACAGGAAAGCATTTTTTGCATTACCGTTGTTGCGATTGTTGCAATGTTTTTGTTTTTTGATGTCAGATGAAAGAATAGAGACTGATGAAGACTTGACTGGATAAGGTTGTGTATGGTGTCAAGGAAAATTGTGTTACGGTGTTGTATTTTGTTGAAGAAAATGAGCTCGTTGTCGTTTCTTTTTCAGCGGATCAAGCATTTAAATAGGAGCTTCTAGAGATGAAAAAGTTGTTTGTGGCTATTTTGTGGACATTCATTTATCAATAAGTAGGTCTTTTATGAAAAGCATTTTGTGGAGTGATGTGGCAGCATGTATTAAATCTGTTTTCTTTTCAAAGCAAATGAAGTACATATGCAATTCACTAATGAAATTTTAGTTATGGTCTACATGATTTCAAAGGTTCATGATTAAAGGATGTTCATAAAATGTATCAAATTGATTTTTACAATATAATAACACTAAGTAAAATTGCAAAAAAGATAAAAAAATAATTTATAGCATGAAATTTTAACAAGTTGTTTTTAGAAAAAAATAAAAATATTAAAATTTAAAAATATTTTAATTGAATAAAATCTACATTCTTTTAGTGATACAAAAATCAATTAAAAATTGATATTCCTATGTATATATACTACATGAACCTATATCATTGTCATAGAAAGTATGACTCAAATGAAGCATTTTTTGAGCCAAATAATATTTTTCAAATACAACTACAATAAAAATAAAAAGAAATAAAATACACAATGGAGCTTTCAGTTATGAAGTAGGATAGGTAAAGCCATGCCATTATCATGGATTATATGCAAAAAAGTAATTAATTTTGTTCAAGGAACTACTTGTGAAAATAAAAAGTGTATAAAATTAAATTAAAAAATCATAAAAGTATATTAAGATATTGAAAAATATATTAAAGTCAATAAAAAAAAATTATAAATAAAATATAAAAAATAAATTACTAATATTTATCTAATTAAAATATTTAGAAAAAAATATTCAATGTGGAATTTAAATTTTTATTTATAGGAAGAAGAATCTTAATAGAATGAGAGGAAGTACATGAAGAGAGTACTACATAAAGTTGACCATGGAAAAAAATAGGTTGTTGTAGATCTAAACCAATGTGCTTCATTGATTATCCTTAGGATTTTTTTATTTATTTATTTTTTTTTATTGTTATTACAAATGAAAGAGAGATTGGAAATTACTTTTTCTTTAGAATGAATGGAAATTCTTTTGTAGAAGTTAATATAATTTGTAGAATAAACTCTAAGTTTCTAGCAAATTTTTCTCTAAGAATTCTTGCTTTAAGAATTCAATGCATTAGTTGTATAATTATCAATTAAATTCTATTGCAAAGTCCTTGGTAAAGAGCAATATTTCTTAGTAGTATCATTGGAGTTTCAATCTTAAGACAAAGCCTTAATGTAGGCATTGCAGATGGATTAAGCAACTTGATGAATTTGACTAAATAAACATTATTTTCATTGATACCATCTTTGACAAAAACTTCATTGGTACTTAGATATTCTTGTTCTTCTCTAGAAAATATAGCCATAATCTTTTCATTAATATTCTTTAGATCATCATTTTGTGCAGATAAAACGATTCTATCTCTTAAATAGGCATAATTTGCTACCCGTCTTATGTTAGCCTTAGATAAACAACATCTATTAATTATTGATAAACAATCATAAAATCAAGAAGTGTAACTATATTATTAGGCAATAAGTTTGTACCATTTCTAATGTAGCAAGTGATAAATAGAAATATTAGTCATTAATAATACAACCATAAATAATTCAAATCCACTGTCATATATATATATATAATGTTTCCAGGGCCCTTTATATTTGGAGAATTTAAATAATAAAACTGGAATTTTCCTGAAAGACCCCTTAAATTAAACCTAAGGTTTTTTTTTTTTTTTTTTTTTTTTTTTTTTTTTTTTTTTTAATGTATGAATTTTTAATTAAAGCCAAAGTTTTGAACATGAAAAAGATACTTCTATAATTTCTTCTTAAGTTCTTTTCACAATCATTGGCAAAATTTAGCAAAAATCTCCATCAAAAACTATTATAGTTCCTCCAAATGGGTAATCAATATCTAGAATGTCTTTAAAAGAACAATCAACTCCCTCAAGATAATAATAATATTGCATTAGAAGTTCATTCCAAATAATAAGTAAAATTTGGCAAATAAACTTAGTATGGTCAAAATTCTTAGTAATTATATAAAAATAGTATTTATTACAATCTAGTAGAATCTTGAATATAAAATAGGTAATTCTTCCTCCTTCAAGTAGCAATGTAGCAATTCCTAATGATGCAACATATATAACAATTTTTTGCATCAATTAAATTTTAGTTACTAAAGTGTTATAAATAAATATCTTATCAGTTCTTACAAGTTTATTTAAAAAAATATGTGTCCATATTCTTCCATTATAAAGGCTACAATATCATCATATGCCTTTCTTTGTTTAAGATTCAACTGTAGAACATATTGCTCCAAATTTGCTTGTAATTATTGAATATTTTTTGCTCTTTCTTCAACAATAAATTAATTTCTATTAATTGTTACATTCCAATTGTTTCTTGATTATGGCATTGAAGGAAATTGTACAAGTATTGTGTTTGAATATTCCAAAATCTTATCTAACAAGAAAAGTTCAAAATCTTTAATCTATTCTTCTATTGAATTGATAGTTCTATGTTTTCTTTGCAAAAGGGCATTGAAATCATTCAAGATTCTTCTTCGAAACCTTAACTATAGATTTAATGGATTTAGAAATTTTTTGTGTAATAGCAAAATAACAAATAACACTCTCAGTTGAGATGTAATTTATAAACTCGATGCTTCTTCCAAACATTATTGTTACTTTCCATCATTTTCAAATAATCATAAAGGTGCACATGCACTTTTAAATGTTAAGATGGAAAATTCTATGAATAATCTTCAAGTGCTCAAATGATTGTGGACCTTTAACATGGATTAACATAAGCCTCAAATAATATCTTTTTTCTTTTGCAAGATTTACAAAATATAATCTTTTAATAAGTAAATTCATAATTTTTTAACGTCCATGTCCTTCTTGTCTTATACTAGATATAATGTTGTGAAAATTTTTGGTATGTATAATGTCTTGCCACTATAATTGCTATATACATCTCAAAATATGAAATTAATATTTTTTTTATCTTTCAATACATTTTCATGTGGCATGATTCTCTATCTAAGAATATATTGGATACCTAGCTATAGAGAGTTTAGTTTTAACTTATTAGACAAGTTCCAATAAGTGATGTTTTCTTATTATAAAAGTAAAAAAATAAAAATAGTATCTAAATATATTTTATGAATAAAATCATTCTATATTTAAAAAGCTTCATACATAAGACTTTCTAAAGGATTTAAAAATTTCCTAACATCCTTTGCTATACCAAATCATAATTAACTATTTGTTGATTTTTTATAAGCTTAAAAAAATTGATAATCTTCTTATAAATATCTATCTTTATATCATAATTCTTTCATAGCTTTGTATCTCCATCTTTAACATATATATAAATTATTGGCTCCCAAAATCCCTTTACTTTGCATACAATGCCCAAATTGTAGCAAAAATTCTATAAAATATTTTTTCTCTCTCTAAGGATTTTTTCTCCTTGAACTTTAGAAATTCATAACTCTTGATTCAACCATTTAGTTTATTTCAAATTTTTAGAAAATGTATGCTACATCCTTAAGCTTTATCAAAAAAAAAATTAACCACAAATCCATTACAAATTATCTGGTATATTAGAAATCCTAGTAAATACTTTAAATCCTAATTTACAAGCACTTAAACACTATTTTCTCCATATCTCAAAAATCCAAACTCCATATGCCACAAAGCTTTAATATAAAGTTTATTAACATCATAACACACATTCTTAGAAAGTTTTAGCCAAAATCTTATCAAATTGCTTAAGATATGGCTCAAAATACAACCACTAGTCAATCAGGTCACTTACTACTCTTAGATTGCAAGTGTTGACTTCAACTTCCTATTACTCCTTCATCCTAGCCTAGAATTTATTAAAAAATATACAAAAAGTGTAGCCACAAAAATTTTATCTTTAATCCTAGTTGCTAATCTTTCATTGCTTGCCGAACATGTATATTATGTCCAAAAGAATGATAGTAGGTACAAAATCCACATCCTAATTTTGAGTGCCTATATCTTTTCCATAAAAATTCTAAATCACCCAAAATTTGTATCAAAATTATAGCCAAAAACCTAATTTTTTTGATCTTATCCTTTTAAATTTGAATTTCATCGAAAGAATAACCCTAATCCCTAATAAGGCCTCAATCAACCTCCTTGAAGTCCATTGGATATGCTTTTGGCCAATAGCAATAGAGATTTTTATCATCTATCTCCATTCATCCATGTGAATACCCTAATTACTCTTTTTGCTACCAAAATTCTTCTCTAATTCTTTTTTTATAAGATTTATATAATATATGTCTTAAATACCAAATAAAAAAAATAAAATAAGATTTTAAGAATCACCAATGTTTAATAAAAGTAGCTTTAAATATATAAAACTATTAATAATATAAAATCAATCTCAATAATATCCTTTTTAAACTAACCACTTCAAAGTAGTAATCTAATTATATTTTGTAACTAATTAAAACTTTTATCTATTTCTATTTTTTCATATTATCTAAGTAACAATTATAGTAGATATATATCCATGACATTAATTCTTCTTTCATAGACAAGTTCCATAAGGAGCAATGACTACATGTTGAGGAAGTCTAAGATATGGTGAATTGTATTTGCTATATACTTTAATCTTTATTTTTT